TTCTCTCTCTCTCTCTCCCTCGCGCGCTAACGTTCTCTCTCTCTCTCTCTCCCTCGCGCGCTCACGGGCTCTCTCTCCCCCTCGCGCGCTCACGCGTTCTCTCTCCCCCTCGCGCGCTCACGCGTTCTCTCTCCCCCTCGCGCGCTCACGCTCTCTCTCTCCCCCTCGCGCGCGCGCTCACGCGCTCTCTCTCTCTCGCGCGCGCTCACGCTCTCTCTCTCTCGCGCGCGCTCACGCTCTCTCTCTCTCTCTCGCGCGCGCTCACGCTCTCTCTCTCTCTCTCGCGCGCGCGCGCTCACTCGCTCTCTCTCTCTCTCTCTTTCTTTCTTTCTTTCTTTCTTTCTTTCTTTCTTTCTTTCTTTCTTTCTTTCTTTCGGTATCAGGGGATCCCAAAACTTGTATTTCCCGACATCTATTTTCTGCAGCATTACATAATTTCCCTATACTACGTATATTACTACATATACGGGAAAGTAATAATATTGATTTTCTATTATATTTAAGGTTTTAGTTACTAATTAAAAAGTACAATTCTAAATACTAAACATACCCCTCCTTCTCTCGTGCCACCCTTCCGCCCCTCTCTCCCAGACATTAAGTGCCAAGACTTTATCTACTTTATCTGGCATATCTGCTCCCTCAACATTTAGGTGGAGAAACCGTTTAATTAGGTCTTCCTGAAGTGCAACTTTATATGTTTCTTGCATCAAGGGGAACGAAAAACTTGAGTCAAGTACTTACGTGCAGAATATTTACGTCTGTAATGATAAATTAAATATCAATAATCTTATTTGCAGCTGTTGACCTACAAATGATAGGCTATCTAATCTCAAAGTGAACATCAACCCCTTTCGATTCAATAGAACTTTCTTAGGAGGTCAGTACTTGTTTAAAAACAAAATTTGCTGGATAGTTAAAAATAGATGCTGTAACCACTGACATATTATTTTATGAGTGGGTGAAAACCAGAATTGTATAAGTGACATTTTATAAATCTAGACAAATTTTTTTGAAGTCAATATTACTGTAAAGTCATGGTGCTTTGTTTGTTTCATCATTAAAACCCCAGCATTTCAATTGTTCATTAAAACTACAAAAATACATTGCCACTGAATTACAGCCTAACAGGTTTTTCTCAAAATTTATAAAATAGCACTTGTATCATTCTTCATTTTTTCTTTTCTCTCTCTTTTCTTTTTCTTGTTTTTATCTTTCCTTTTCTTTCCAAATATGATTCCAATAGATCCCTTATTAAAAGTAAATATGGTTTTATCTCAAGTACATTTGAAAACTAGTCACAGTGGGTATTCATATTTTCATGTGAAACTACGTTTAGCAATCTTCATATCTTCATGCCCATACATGGATTTGTTTCATCATACAAGACAAATGAAGCAAAGCAATTATTTTCTCGAAAGTGGTTCCATTTTTTATTTAATTTGTACTAGAATTGAGGAAACCTCGCTTAATAATTTAGAAAATTGCTTTGATTCACTTGTTCTCTAAATATGTCCTATATCTTCTACATTGAAGCTAGAGATTTCTTTCTCTGTGCAATCTATTTCTCAATACTGGATCTTTAAACAGTTTTATGTATAATTCTTTCAAAACTGGTGGCGCAGCAGCAAAAATACTGCGGAAAATACTTCCTTTTCCAAAAAGTAGCTTGAACACTACTCGTGACGAAATAAAATACTCTCATATAATAAACATTTATAAATGCAGTAAATTAATGTGTTGACATAAAAGTATTCACTAATAGTATATTAGTATATGGATAGAACAAGTCAAATATTTAAAAAAAATCTTAGTGTCCCATAATGCAACATGTAAATGGCAAATATTTATTAGTGGGCAACTTCTTCTGTGGAACGTTACTGTTGCACAAGTCAGCTGTGATGCAGTGATTATAAGAATTCAGTTGGTACGTACAGTATGAATATGGTCAGAATGAACACAATCAAATATTTGTGTTTTCAGTGAAAATTAAAACTGGTTTATAGCATTTGGGTT